CGTTAAAATGCTTCTTCTCATAATTCCAGCATGATTCATATAGATGACATTGCTCAAACTTGTAATAGTTCATAAATTTCTTTGGAAAACATATATGATTCTCCTCCCAAATTCTGAATTTCGGCTCTATTCGCAGTTCCAATATCATGAAGACCGAGATCATTAGAAAAATTAGAACACGGCAGGAGACAAAACCTTGCATACTTGAAAGTCATAATGGAGCATCACTAGAACAAATCCTCATTGGTGAAGCGAAAAAATCTCACCATTGGAATGACAAATGAGCATAACAGTAAATCACACGGTGACAGGAAAAACGGTGTGAATCTTGTTAGGATCAAACTCATCACAAACAATCGATTGAGAACTAAAAATGACAATGAAACTATGAACTCATTCTTGCAGCCTTGCAGCATATCAAATTCACACCTGATGATTATTAGCTTGAAAGAACCCGACGAATTTTGGAGACTCAGAATGCCACAAGTCCAGCAACATGATCACTCTCTTTGCCTATGTGTTTTTGTACTTTGCCTCCAGAAGCTTCCTTAATAATCCACACGTCAATCATTAAATTACTTCTAGTAATCATATGAGAACAGACAAGAGAGAAAATTACAGTTGCAATATCGCAGAACAATAAAAACCAATTCAAGCAATCAGGAAAAGCAAGCAAATTCATGTCATTCCTGAGCGTGGGATTTCTGTCGTCCAACTTAAGAAACTGAGATGACTATGGTCAAAGGGATTTTCTTAAAGAGTTGCTTGTTCTTTTAATATTTTGTAATTTCCATAGTATTAACATCGCGTATAAACCAGTATGCCTGCCATTAATCAACAGCATAAAAGTTTAACTCGCCATGTAAACAAAACAAACTGGATTTCTATACTGTATCAGCGGTTTTGTTTCAACTAAGATGGGCTATTTTCTTCCCATCCCCACTAGAGACTAAATGCCTTGATGTTTTTCAAAATTATGATACATCACTTTGGCTGTTCAAATTATGATGCATCGCTCTGAAAACTAAATAAATGATCCAAATTATTTGCACAATATATGTTAGCACATACATCTTTTGCAAACATATGTGTAGTCGTACAAGCAACTATTATTCACTTTACCAGCAAAGTGGCTATCTCATGAAAATTCGAAGTTTTTTTCTTTATTTTGATGGTATGGCATAGAGACCTTAATTAATTTAACTTATTTAATTCGAATGGGTTCGAAAAAGTGCGAGAGGCATTGGCTTTATGTGAGCTCAATGCCTTACCATCGCTAAATCATGAGGGTCTTACATGGGATATGCCGAAATCAGTTGGATATAAGGAACCAACTGATGTCATGACTTTGACCAATTATATTGATATATGATATTTGCATCATAACCAATTGCAGCATGAACTCTTAGTTTACTAAGTTTGAGTAGAATCTACTCCTTCTCAAGTCTATTTTCCAACTAGATGATACTTAACTCAGCCGCAACTCGAAATTACAATGTGTGGACTTAGTCTTCACGAAATTTCAGAGTGAAAAGTGTGAAATCTTGAAATCACAGGGCGTAAAGAGTTAATTTTAAAATTTGATGTTCTAGATTTTCATTAATGAATTTTTCCTTCTGTTTTTTGGCCAGGTTCATTAATGAAGAAAATTCGAAGATAGTGAACAAAAAATCCTAATGTTTCGACCAAAAAAAAAAGAACAAAATAATTTTAATGCCTAAGGTAGACTGAACCCGTTATATTAGTCAGAGGCCGAAAGCCTAACATCAATTTGGGCTTAAACAACAACAAGAAGCCCATTTTCTGAATTAGTCCAACGTGAGGCTCCTTAGAAATGATGGCCCAAAGATTAGATAGCGTCCTGGAAGTTTTAGTACGATTGTGATTATTATTTGGACCTTTCTCGGCCTTCTGGCAAAGATGTAAGTGTTGATGATTATTTGGCTCTATGTCTTCTGGTTTTCTCTTTAATCAGAAATGCTTGATTGCCGATTAATTGTATCCGAAGACAATCTTCGAATGATAAAAAATCTCAATACATGTAGGGATAAGCAAAAAAGGGTCCAAACCTTTATACTCAACCGAACTTTTGACAAGAGTACTTTCTTAAATAAATGGATCATAAATCGAACAAATTTGGCTTCAATTATTTTGAAACCGACTGAACCACGAAACTATATTGTATAACCTATGAGGTTCATAATTACGTTTACCATTTATACATGAAGGTTTTTTTTGTTTTTTTATTATGAAGTAGGTTTGATGTTCATTTTTCGTAATTTATGAATTATTGTGAGTGTAGACCTCGACGTTGAAACCACATCAAACCGCATCGGACTCATCCCTAGGTACACATTGATGGTTTAAGACACCTCAGCCACTTCTTAAATATAGATCCAGATATAGACGATCATCGGAAATTTCTATCACAAAATTGGCAATCATAAATTTGAGGATTGAAGGATTATCTCTTTAAGTTCCGAACGGGTAGCAAAACTTGCAGGCTCTTCATATAGTCTTGTATATTAATACAACGATCGCTTTCATGTTAATACCGATCAACTGATAGATTCTGTTAGTGCATTTCCTTGTCAAATCATAATTGCATCTTCTCATTCCATATGATGATGTCTGAATTTAAACATTTCGGAGTTATTTTTAACTAAATGTTATTCTTTTCATTGTTCATGTTAGATTGCGACATCGGATAACCCAGTGGACATAATGACTAAGCATGTTTTTTTGGCTAAGCTCAAGCTCTACTTGAAGACTATTCAGATCTCATGAGAGTGAGCGTCTATCTGGGCGTTGGAGAAAGATCATGATTTATGAGTATTATAACTTTGCTACAAACGTCGAACCAAAGTGGAGAATTATTGAATTTATGTCACGGGTTTGAACCCACGTAACAAATTCACTTTCTTATTTAGCTCATTTCGGCAGGGGCTCACGGTCATTGGCTTAACACAAATCGAGAATAAAGAAGGCCACTAAAAGACAAAATAGGAGCACACTTTATTTTATTATATCTATTTCGGTGGGCCCAGGTCAATTTGTTGACTCCTTTACCAGTAAAGGACTTCACTTCTTGTACGTACAAAAGAAATGTGTGGGGCCACGGAAGTTAGAAAAAAGGGAAAGCAAAAACAAAGGGTTTTTTGCCGCATATAAAAATATAAAAATTGAGGGTTTCTTTCTTTCAGCGAAGACCAAAGCCGTACAAAGCAAGACGTACAGAGATGCTTGTATTCAAGCCGCATAAAGGAGGCAGAACGTACAGAGACGTTCTTAGACATGCGCGTGTTTTGCTTTGGACTTGAACACGCGGTGATTTGTATAGTGAGTTTATTTCGTCTAATTGAGTTATTTATTTGTAAACACTTTGGTTCTACGCTTAAATCTAGGTGTGAGAAACACTCGAGCGTATAAGCGAATTGTAAATCTGATTCTCCGATTATAATGAATTATTTGTTGCTGACTCTCACCGTAAATGTAAGTACCGATACTTGGACCGAATCACATAAATCTCCAGTGTCCTTATTATTTATCGTATTTTTCTAGTATTTTCGCATTGACTTAATTTACAAGATCCTATCGTTTTTGCGTCATATTTCAACAATAACCAACCTCGCTCTTTATACCATAAGCAATATGACATTACATACAAGTGATTGAGTTTTTATATGTGCTACTTCAATTATTCTGCAGAGTTATTGTAGAGTATGGAGTAGCAAATATAACATCATGACATCGAAGCTTGCAAATCTAGATGTAGACTGGTATAACATGATCTGAACTTTTGGCCATTTCATCATATATGTTTGATCCAATTGAGTGAATATCAATTAGTCAAATATTATGGTCGGTCGCTGGAATGATCTACAACTTGAATATAATAGAGACTAAAGAATATGCATGATATCTGCTGCAGGTGCCGCTGAAAAGCATTCTTTCTTTCGCAAAAGGTTGGGTGTTCGAATCCCGGGCGCCGTAGGGTGACTTTACCGGTGCGACGTGTGTGGTGGCTAGCACGTGTCGCCCCCAGGGTTTACCTTCCGGCTGTCGGCCGTGCGGGGGTTCCCTAGGTTACCAAAAAAAAAAAAGAATATGCAGGATTGGCAGTCCATTATCAAATCGGCCTCCTCAATCCCATTACAAAGGTTTGAGCGATGTCACATTGATTCCCACCCCATCCCGCAATCCATTCCGGCAATATCATAGAACTGACCTTTCACGCCATTGAAAGACAGATGTGAATGCATCATTTTGGACATTTTCTTTGTCGGTGAATGATTAGTACCGGCTTTCTCTATTTCAATCTCAATCTCACTCACCAACCACTCGGAAAGTTTTTTTTTTTTTTTTTGGTAACCCAGGGAACCCCCGCACGGCCGACAGCCGGGGAGTAAACCCTGGGGGCGACACGTGCTAGCCACCACACACGTGCCACCGGTTAAGTCACCCTGCGGCGCCCGGGATTTGAACACTCAACCTTTTGCGAGAGGAAGAGTGCCCACTCCAGCAGCGCCACCCAGGTGGGTGGTTCCACTCGGAAAGTTTTATACTCAGTCGAAGTAACAAAGCTAGTGCCTCACTCCACAGTACATATATAGCATCTGCAACTTTTAGCACCAAGGAAGCCACCACGACCACGAGATTTGGTGTGAATCGACTCTACTTTCACCAGTTTGCATGCCCAATGAGCAATAGGTTTCACATTGTTCTCTTTCATTTGGTCTAAGGCTAATCCATGTATTTTGCAGCCACACCTCCAGTTCATGAAAACAGAGGTTCTCCCGTCTCCTCTGAGCATCCCATCTCTGCAGGTTTATGCAATTTCCCCTAATCGACCAAGGGCCAGAACTTAGGACTATCTCTGCTTGGTGCCAGCCGTGAAACCTGAACAAATACATTTTCTCATTTTGAGGGGTTATAGTAATGTCAACCATACCAGCGCAGGCTTTCCTTCAAACACTAGCTACGCAGCTCGACTCAAGCATTTCTCTGACAAAATCCTTCCAATTTAAACCATCTCAGCTTCCTCATCATCAATTTGCTCAAAAATCAAATGATCCCCCAGAAGATTGTCTACCAGAGATGCTTGCAATGTTAAGAGAACCTCTGCAGGCATCCTGTAACGAGAAAAAAGAAATAGATTAGCAGAGAATAAACTCAGACATGTCGTCGAACAGTTGATAGGGGCAGTGTGTAGTGATAGGAAAACTAATGCGACAAAACAATTCCAAAGAGACATAACTAAAATAGAAAGCAGATGGAAATAACTAATGATGATAGAGCGCAAATATCAGGATATTGGATGATCGAGAAGAATGGGGGTGACGATCATGGAGAAGGATAGCAGAAAGAAAACATCATTGTGATGTAGGGAAAGCTCTCAACAGAGAGAGAGAACCTCTCACAGAGGGGAGAGATACAAATCTATGTATACCATCCTGAAGAGAACTCAATATCCCAATCTTTTTGGAGTATAAATGCTAGAAAGCTAACATATGAAATTAAGAGAAAAACGGTTCTTGTAATTTCTAGCTTACAGAAGCTCTGTTTGTAAAATCTCCTGATTTAAATTGCATACACGTACTTATGTGCAATCAATCTTGAGCTTCAGTGGCCAAAAAATCAATCTTGAGCTTCACTCTTTTAATGCCAATGTTCTTCCATTATTTTTGCAGTGTTCTACTTCAACGCAGGGTCACACATGGTGATAACAATAACTGCAACAGTGCTTCTACGTTCATACACTAATCAACGGACCAGCCACCTTTTCCCTGAACAAAGCCTGCGAGTATTACTTAGTCTACACCTTTACTAACAGTGACCGTTGTTCTCAGGGCCAAAAATTAGTTGTCACTGTCAGTGAAACTTCCACTGCCCCGACCACCAGTCCAGCTGGATTCCCGTAACTGCTGGCACCAACCACTGGGACCACCACGTCTCTACCACCACCTGGAAGTGATGCTTCGTATCTCTTTGCAACACTGCTAGTCCAGTTCATGTCCATTGCCATAAGCTTGTTATGTGAGTTCATTATACATGATCCTCATTATTTCTACTAAATATAGGTGGACTATTGATAGATCGTGAGATGTTGCTCCTCGTCATAAAGTGAATAAACTCGTTAAAATGCTTTTATAATTCCAGCATGATTCATATAGATAACATTGCTCAAACTTGCAATAGTTCATTAGTTTCTTTGAAATACATCTATGGTTCTCCTCCCAAATTCCTAAGTTCGGCTCTGTTCACAGCTCCAATATCATGAAGACAAAAACTTGCATACTAGAAACTTGAAATAGAGCATCACCAGAACAAATCCTCATTGGCGTAGCGAAAAAATCCCACCATTGGAATGATAGAGCAGAAGAGTAAATCACGCGGTGACAGGAAAAATGGTGTGAATCTTGTTAGGATCAAATTCAACACAAATGGTTGATCGAGAACTTAAAATGACAATTGTCGGAGGTGTCAACAACAATGAAACTATGAACTCACTCTTGCAGCCTTGCAACATATAAAATTCACACCTGATGATTAACTTGAAACAATCCAACGAATTTTGGGGATCCAGAGCGCCACAAGTCCAGCAGCATGATCGCTCTACTTTGCCTATGTGTTTTTGCACTTTGCCTCCAGAAGCTTCCTTAATAATCCACATGTCAATCATTAAATTACTTCGAGCAATCATATGAGAACACACAAAAGAAAATTACAGTTGCAATATCACAGAACAATAAAAAAACCAATTCAAGCAATCAGGATAAGCAAGCAAATTCATGTCATTCCTGGGTATGGGATTTCAGTCATCCACCTTAAGAAACTGAGATGACTATGGTTGAAGGGATTTTGTTAAAGAGCTGCTTGTTCTTTCAGTGTTTTGTAATTTCCACCATAACAACATCACGCATAAGCCAGTATGCCTGCCATTATAAGAATCAACAGAAGATAAAAGTTTAAGTCGCCATGTAAACAAAACAAACACGTTATAGATGACCTGCAAGCAAGCAGAACAACGTTCAATACAAAACTTATGATCTAGTCCTCCAACAAGGGCTGCCAGTTACATTCCTACTATGATCAAGAGAAAGATTTCATTCCAACTAAGGAACAGGAATCACTCAGTAATGTTCAAAAAAGAATCACTCACGGATGATTCACCAGGACTGCCAGCTTCATTCATGATTTTATCAAGTCTAAGATTTTGCCTTATTAGGGGACAGGGATCAGTCTCAAATATCGAACTATCACCAGAATGTGATCTCATGAATACCCGACGTAACAACTGCTCATATTCTATATGAGGAAAGCTCAAGACAATTCAGATATTGGCTGTAGCCACTTGCATCTGGAAATGTCGTAAGCTTGTGGAAGCTCCAAGTCTCTAAGCCCTCAAGGCTCAATTAGTTTGTCGCGGTCTGGTACGACAATTGACGAGCATCATCAAATCTCTATACTTTATAGGTGGCTCGATCCTTTGAGCCCTGAGATGTCTGATAATTTCCAACGAGCTGTCACTATCAAGTTCCTTAAATCTTCCAATTTCGACACATCTGGGAATTTCGCTAACAACTTGCAACCTTGAATACACACACTTTTGCAGGATGAGAATATCTCTAGGCTTTGAATGTAATCGCAGCGGTTGATTTTCAACCTGTTCAGGGTTTTCAATCACGATAGATCCGATAATCTCCCAAGGGAAGTGCAACAACAGATATCCAATATTACCAAAAAATCCAGCCCGTCAAGGTTGCGTTTCAACAAGACTCTTGCAGTTTGCAACATGAAAGCCCTCAAATTCTTTAAACTAGAAAGATCTGGTTATCTTTCGATGGATGTGCAATTAGAGATATCCAATCTTACCAATAATCAACCTCTCAAGGCCGTGAATTTCAACTAGATTCCTGCAGTCTGCAGCATAGAATCCCTTAAGACATTTTTAACTTGATAGGTCTGTTTATCTTTTAATGGATTGAAAGGTCTGGTAATCTTTTAATGGACATGCATCTAAAGACATTAAAACTACCCAAATTTTCTAATTAATCAATCAAGGCCTCGAACTTCAACTAGATTCTCGCAATTTGCAGCGTGAAATTCTAAGTCTTTAAACTGGAAAAGTCTGGTAATCTTTTAATAGAAGAGCACCCAGAGATATTCAATCTTGCCAGTAAATCCAACCTGTAAAGACCACGAATTTCAACTAGATTTCGGCAATTTGCAGCATGGAATCTTTCAATGGATGCGCATCCAGAGATACAGAATGTTACCAGATATTCTATATGGGTCAGCCTCAAACTTCAACTAAATTCTCGCAGTTGGCAGCATCTGATTCTTTTAGATTCTTTAAACTTGAAAGGCCAAGTGATTGAATGGACATGCAAACAGAGATATCCAAACTTACCAGACTCTTGCAGTTTGCAACACATGATAGCCTTAGATGTTTCGAACCCGAAAGGTCCCCTGAATCTCAACTACATTCTCGCAACTCGCAGCGTTTGTTTCGAAGTTGTAAAGCAGCACCTTCTGCAGTCATTTTCTGCACGAGTGCGTCTAAAGAACCGAGCCAAAATGATTGTCAATGGCCCAACCGAGGGAACCTTTTGGTGGCTCACCACCTCCTCCCTGCATTACCCAACATAGAGCGACCACAAGGATCAAAATTTGTCAAACATGCATTTACCTGAATTGGAGCAAGATTATTCCATACTATGGAGTGATTAACATGACCTGAACATAGGTTACATCCACAAAATCGTAAGAGGAGCAAAATCAAAAGGATAATAATGGGCTAAGCGCCAAAAGCTAATCTTTAATAGTTGAATATGCACATAGAGAAAATAAAGAGAAAATTTAAGATTGTTGGATAATTTATAAAAACAAGAAGAGGTAATAGAAGGGCCGGCGCAGCCATCAGTGCTCTTAGATAAAACACAAAATTTCTGCAAATTGTTTTCAAACAATAGACCTGAATGTAGCATGTTTCAAATGTGATGAAGTTCTTTAAGAAAGTTCAATCACAGTCGTGGTTCAACATGCCTTTGCCAAACTGCATGAACTACCACCACAATGCCTATGAAGCTTACTTAAAAATGAATTGATAATATCTGATACAACATTTCACACTTGTTCATCACATGCTGTAAATTATTCATATGAAACAAAACGAAACTCAGAAACCCTAATTTCACCTCTTTTCCCCTTTCATTTAGTTGGTAGCAACTGCAATAAGAATGTGATAACAAAAAAAACCTACCGATGCAATGACTAATCTAAGCAACTGTCTTCAGGATGGAAAGACAACCCTCAACAAAATTTTCCTCCTAGTCAGTAAGCACGACACAATCTGAATGTGGTGACATTCGAACGCCACCCATCCTCACTAGTGCCATATAGATCCAAAACTTGTCACTCTGTACATTCTATAGTACTATGGTTCATCAGGAGCACCAGCGCACCATTCACATCGATAGGGCAAAAGCTATTGACAACCAATCAGACATTGGTGAGCTATGGCAGACAAATACTAAAAAACCAGGAACTTTGGCTCTAGAGGGGAGCTAACCCATCAAGGATTTGACATGAGCAGCGACTGCAGATAATAGATTTGTCTTACCAAGTGCTGGCAAAGCCAGATCAATCACTTTATATACACTACAAGTTCCCTTGCGAAGGATAGCTCATCTTTGAAATGTGCCGCTTATTATATTCAATTGTCCACGAGTTAAATTCTCAACCACCTTTCACTCTCAATTTCATTGAATCTGAAGAAGCTTTCATCACAAATAACGCCTTCCTTCAGTCCATTAACCTTAAATGGAACAAAGTCAAGAGCATTTTTCCTTGTTCATCTGTTTCGCTGACAAATAAGACTATATGCTAAATTGCGTTCAGCTACTGTGACCGAAAACCTTAACAGCTCTGCCTAGTCCTCATCATTTCTCGAGGGAACACTTTAAGTCACTAAGGATTGACCCCAAACGAGAAGTGAAGCACCTCCTCAGCAAATTTGACTCTGGCAATTCATTAAGGTCCTGTTTCTATGCAACGGCAGGCAACAGTTAAAGAACAATCCGAACACTCGTCGAGTCCGCGTTAGACAAGAGAATGCTCGATCAATTATCGCTCCGACAAATTTCACCCTCACTTCCATTGAACTTAGAAAGCAAACAACAAAAACTAAATCCCAGACAGAAGGAACGAAAGAAACAAGAGGACAAAACAGAAAAGAATCGAACCTCCGCCATTGAACTTGATAGGAGCTCTGCAACTTATTAACGACGGCCGGAGCGTCGCCCTCACCCATGGCATCGTGGAGCTGCTCGAGCGCCGTGTTGGAGGCCTGGCGGTGGTGGTGCTTCTTCTGGCGGTGCAGCCGCATGATCTCGCCGCTGATTGCGGGCTGGAGGGCGCCGTAGTCGTAGGGGAGATCAAGCCGCCATTAGAGCCGAGGCCAGACGCGGAGGCGGAGGCTAGGGTTTTTGCCGGCCAGCAGCGCGCGGAGAGCCATGGGAGCTTCCCTTCTGCTGTGGAGCTGATCTTCGAGCTCAGTCAGATACACACCTGGGCTCGTCACCTCTGGACAATCTGGGAATTTGCCTATTCAATGTCGTAGTGTATAAACGGCCCAACCCCCGTCTAATGCGAGCGCTGGACAAATTAACCTCCCCAGAGAAAGTAACAGATCGAACAGAAACCTTGGATAGTCGGACGGGAAGCTCGGGGAGACATTCAAGTGGACGGCAATCAGAAAGGGTGAGTTCCTCGAGAAGGGTTAGTTTGGAAAGAAATGGTAACGATGGACTTGGGAAAGTGATGTGCAGAGCTGTTAAGCTGGCGGGCGGCTCAGGTATTCCTCGAAGGTTTTCGCAAAATTTAAGGCTGAGACATTGGAGAGAAGAGAGCTTAGAAATGCTTTCTGGCAAACCCAAAATGCTCGATCTGTCTAAATAAAGCTCGTTTAGCGAAACCAGTTCGCCTATATTATTAGGCAGTCCTTTCAGATTGTCGCAGCATACTGCACTCAACTCTTGGAGTTTCGCCAGCATTCCAATGACACTAGGCAATTCCGTCACGGGAGTTCCACTAATGCGCAAGATCCTCAAATTTTGCAGATTCCCAATGCTTTCAGGTAATTTTGTAATCGATGTCCATGCTAATCGCAGCTCATTCAATGATGCCAACTTTCCAATCGAGTCGGGGATCTCTCTCAACGATCGACATTCCGATAGGTCAAGGCGAGACAGGGATGCTAGATTGCCTATGGAGCTAGGTATGCGAGCTAATGATTCGCAGCCATAGGCATTAAGAGTCTCCAGCGGCTCCATAGAACTAATGAATTCAGGTAATTCTTTAATCCTTGTCTCATGTAAGTTCAGCTGAGTTAACGACACAAAGGAGCCAATGGATTCTAGAAGCTGAGCAAATTTATCACAACTTAGGGCACCTAGAGTCATTAGCTTCATCAGACAACCTCTCGAAATAGGATTCTCTTTTATAGCGGTGTCACTTATAAGAAGCTCCCTCGATTCTTCCATTCTCCCCACTCTTGCCGGTAGCTCCTTCAATCTCTTACAATAGTTTACATTCAAGGAGACGAGGGTCTTGATATACCATATAGAAGGATGAATTGCTTCCAGACTACAACAGTTTTCAAGAATCAAAATCTCCAAGCTTTTAAAAGCAGACAAGTCGGGAGTTCTTCTCAAATGTTTACAATACGAGAGGTTGAGAACTTTCAGCTCGGTTGCCATCTGAAAGAAACAAAGGAAAACCTCATTGAAATTGGACAGCTGCAATGTGTGATTTTCCACTATTCCTTGTATCATTTTAAGAATCTTTAAAATTCCTAAAAAGTACCAATGCTCCGCTACTCTTTCACAATTGTCTTATTTAATTTTAAATGTTTTATTAGTAGTGTTTGGCTACACCACCATATTGATTTTTTTTAAGCATATCCATTGCAAAAAGAATGTTATCTACGTACAACTGCTAGCTGTGTTTTTTTTCGGATAAAATTTCAAAGAGAAAATATATTCAGTTTTTAAGAGCTATGGCGATGCCGTTGATTAGACATAAACAAATTTTATTATCAGAAAGCAAATGACACTTTAATAGTATGAAATTAAAGAGAAACAGGTAGTTTAATTATGAAAAGTAATTTTTTAATGTTATATGTACAAGATATAAAGCATGTTGTATTCCAAAAGAATTTGATGCCATTGGAAGGATAATTTTATTACTCTCGTGACATCAATAATTTATATTTGTGTTATACAGTGACGACTTCCATAATCAACAATTATAATGAATAAATATTTCGTGCAACAAGTTAGAGCAATTCATAAATTATATGCATTACCCTAAGATTAAAATTAATTTAGAATTTTAGTATGTACGTACAGCACAAGTCACTGCATGGGAGTTTTTGTTTCTCCAAGAAAGAAGATTGATATAGAGATATAACAAGAATCGCTCAAAAGAACTACTTTTGCATGGGGATAAATTATCTTAGAAGCCACAAACCAGCTAGATTAACGAAAATCAAAATATGCACGAATATGTAATTATGTTTTTAATAGATGTTAATTAATATAGTTAATTTCTTTTTTAGTATTGTCTAAGGTTAAGCATGACGGATTGTAGAGTTTTATCAATTAAAGATATTAAGGGGCAGAAGCTTCTGAATACATAGGTGCCTATAAATTCCATATTTAGATGAAAATCCTTAATTCGAGGAATGATATTAAACCTTTCTACAAGAAAGAAAGGAGAACT